GCCAGGGGGCCTCGGATCCCGTAGAGCCATCTGGAGCTGCAACGGGTCCATTTGACTCCGCAGGCAAGCATAAATCTGCTCACCGCCCACATAGGGTTGGGGTGGCACATTCAGACGGGCCTTCAAGGCCAGGTGGTCCGACCATGGCACTGCCTCAGCAGTGATCCGGTCCACCGTCACCCCCGCTGCAAAGGTCAAATCGAGCATGTGACTGGCCCGATGTGTGTGGGCCGATACAAATTGCGAGAGTCCCAGCGCCGCCATGGACGACACTAGGTCCGTAGTCCGGCTGGAAGCCGCGTCCTTGGCATGGACGTTGAAATCACCCAAGACAATCAGTCTAGGGTGGTCCAACGCCCAGCCTGATACGGCCTCCAGCAGGGATGGCAGGCTATTGGCTGGTGCAAAAACGTACTGTGTATAGAGAAATCAAAGAATCTTTTCCTTAAATGTTGATGTCTCATAACATAAATGATACAGAATTCTTGCACTAAATATTAAAGAAATTTTATAAAATACATACATTATTATTCGCAATACACTTATCTGCAAACCACCGCAGCCGACCTGGACGAGCTCTCAAGCCAGGAGTCTGCAAAGCAAAAATTTTAAAAAGGCACTAGCTTACTTACAGAAAAATTTAAATGCAAAGGATATGATTTCTTGACTTTGCAAACTATGAATTACAGTATCATTCAGTTATTTCTACGTCTCCGCCACCCATCATAGATTTGGCCCTTTTGCAATAAAGTACCCACATTTTTCATGACAGTTACTCCAGCTCATGTATTTTGGCCCCTTTTTTCTCATGTAGTAATCATAGCTCAACCTTAGTCTTCAAGAAATGGTCAAGGGTCTGTACAATTTTACCTAACTACATTCTAAATTTCTCCTAATAGTCTGTACTTTTAAAAAACAATATTGTTCCTTGGCCTTAAACAGCATGCTATCCATCAAAAATACTCTTACTGACCACACAATCAATGGTCAATGAGTTCCACTAGCTTTGCTAACCTACTGGAAGCCCCGCTAACATAAACCTGTTATCATTAACTGGTCCACCCCTCCACTCTCATCTTCACATTTTATAATGCAACCTTGATCCTAAATAAAATGAAGTTATGTTCATCTTACAAGAAAGCTCTGAAAATGCATCACAGGCACAAAGAAGTAAAATTTCTGTAGCCAAACTATCATATGCCTTACACAACCACAGCTGGAGTGTCTTCTAAGCAGAAATCCACGTTCACCAATTCTACAGTAGCAGTAAAAGATGTGTAATATCTGATTCTGACTACACGGCTAGGTGTAGGTTAGGGATGGGCATGAACTGGGAAAATGTGTTTTGGTTCGTGGCCAAACCACGAACCAAACTGAACCAGGAGAACTGTTTGCAGTTCATGGCCCTGTAAACCCCGTTGAAACGGACCACAGTCCGTTTAAACAGGGTTTGCAGAAAGCCCGAAAAACAGCAGTCTCTTTAAACATGGTTTGCAGAAAGCCCAAAAAAGCAGCTTGCTCCCCACCGCTAAGCTGTTTCAGGCTGTCTTCTGCAGTCCCTTTAGACTTTAAAAGGACTGCAGAAGACAGTCCAAGAAACAGCTGAGCCCAGTGGGGAGCAGGTCAGATGTTTTGGGCTCTCTTGTGCAATCCCTTTAGATGGGGCTGCACAAGGGAGTGGAATACAGCTGAGCCCGCAGAGAGAGCCCAGCTTTGGGATCTCCTGTGCAGCTCCATTTAAAGGGGCTGTGCAAGGGAGTCCAATACAGTTGAACACAGGGAGAAGCCTCCCCGCTGGCCAGCTTCAGGCTCTCTTGTGCAGCCCCATCTTCCCCCTCTCCCCACCACCCAAGAGCATGGAGAATTGCCCCACCTTCTTCCTGAAATCACCTCTCCCCCTTGTGCAAGCAAAAGTGTACAAAAGCATGCTTATCCAAGTGAATGATAACTTATTGAACTTATGTAACTCCTAATGTGGTAATTTACTTTGCATTCATTTATTTATATTTCACTGTCTTCTCTACAGTCAGGACTCAAAGTGGCTTAGAACATCATTTTCCTCTCCTCTGTTTTCTAACAACAACCCTGTGAGGCCAGGCTGAGAGTTTGTGACAGGTCTATGGTCACCCCGTGAGCTTCCATGGTAGAAGTGGGTAGAACTTATGATGAAATAGTATAAACCAGGATAGACCGATCAGTTTTTCTCTCTCTCTGAAAAGTTTAAGTGATAAAACAAGGTTGGTCCTACTGAAACATAACTTTCAATTACGGCAAAGGAAGATGAATGGAAGATAGCTGCAGCACACACAAAAGGGACAAAAAGTAAAAAAAGCATGTTTTGTAAGGAATGGCAATCAGTGGCTTCCCTCAAAACACTTAACTCCTTTGTAGTATTTTCATCAAAATCCTACCTGATGCACTCCAAATAATCAGTGATGTTCTGGCTGTCTCCCAGCTCTCTCTCTCTCTCTCTCTCCCACACACACACACACACACACACACACACACACAGACAGAATGTATACAGTAGTATCTGAAGAACAGCTTGAAAACCACTATATTAAGCCAGTAACTTCCTTTCTTCAAGAACATTGAGAATATCCCTCTCCACAAGAATATAAAATAATGAGTTGACGCATGCAAATATGGGAAAATTAATTTGTGACTTATCAAGTAAATTCAAAAACTACTTGTACGTAATTCTATAATATATGACACTTGCAAGCAAATAAAGTGACAAAACCTGTATGTTGGTTTATGCCACTGTCAACCCCCCCTTTAAACATCTGCTAAGCAATTTTATAAGGAAAGGGGAAATAATTGAAAACTGAAGAGTTAATATCTTACACAACATGCCCTTGGAAATTACAGAGAAGTATGTTACTTGTATCTGTAGATAATCCTCTTTGTGACATGGCAGAACTCAAACACAGCATTCACTTCCAACTTTCAATATCATTGCTGCTCCAAATGCCAATGATCTAAATATCTTTAAAAGCTGAAAATTTTATATAGCAAATCCTCCTCTGTTTAGAAATGATTGCTGCACACATCACTATAAGGACAGCTGAGTTATATAGGGGGTATTCTTGTGCTTCATTTTGAAATTGAGAAGTGTTTTCACATACAGTAGGCTCTCAATCATCAAAAGAACATCTAGGTCAGATTAACTAAATCTCCAGGGTTTGCACGATAGTCCGTATTTGTGGTTTATCTCTAACCATCTTACTGAATTCTCAACATTGTGCCTAGTATGAAATGGAGACATATAAATACAGTATATTGTAAAAAAAAAAATCAAAATTGTGGTTAAAAATGTGATTTAAAAAATAAAGCTACAACCTTCTCCAAGTGAAAATAGTAACTTGGTAATACATTTACTGTGATTAATGAACTATATGAATAATAATTTTAGTATTCATCTGGTACTGAATAGTTGGCTTCTTCAGTGTTATTTTAAAATTTATTTATTTTTTTTTTAAAAAAACTACATCAAAACAAAAAGTGTTTTCCCTGACTGCCGTGCTAACCTCGCCCAATCTACCTACATTTATTTACATAATGGCCTTCTCTATAACAGCAGAAGCCTGATTAGATTATACCACTGTGATGGCTGCTGGTATATGTAAATATATTTATAAAAAATTTAGCAAGATACATTAAAATATTTAAACTTTAGCCATTAAGTTGTGCTTAAGGGGAGTTCACTTGTTTTGAAATGGCTTCTTTACGAATCTAGATAGCTCATGTTCTGCCGAGGCTTGGAACTAGAATGGGCCACAATTCAGGTCTACTCTTTCACAACTTTATTCAAGGTGACATAACCGGAATTGGAACAAGCAATGCCAAATCTTGGTCAATCTTTATTCCTAGTTTAGTGCTTGTCTATTAGTATTTACTGTATATGATTCTTCCCCGCATATATTGTTTACATGTTGTAATTTATACATCTGTTAGTACTCTCTCTCGCACACAAAACATTAACATCTGTTCATGACAAACAATTTGCTCCCGTCATCTACCACATGATACATTTCTTCTCAACAAGACACATCAATAAAGTTGGAAGCTAATTTTTTAACACACAAAACACACACACACACACACGGAAAGTCAAATCATACTCTACAATTAAAGTAAGATTCTCCAACAACAGTTTTTATCTGTACCAATAAATTAAGTTTCATACTGATTTTATGCAGATTCATACAAAAAAACCCATCTGGATGAAAGGGCACTATAATCTTCAAATCACACAGCCCAGAAATATTTCCCTGGTTTTTAAGATAGATTAAAAACATCCCAAACCAGGGGGGATTGCTGTTCTGAAACCAGTTTGCAATGAAATATATGTCGCAATGTTGAGCTTAAATCAATTTACTGCTACAGTTTTAGTTAACATCTTTTGATATTTTGTCATCAGCTCAAAACAGCTCCCATTTCAAGCCTGAATGTCACCAGCCGCTTTATTTTCAGGTATCTCTTGAATCACTTGATCACTACCAGGTGACCAAACAATTACTACCAAAGCTCTTGCTCAAAAGAAAACATCAGATGTTTCTGTTACCGTAATATGTAAAATGGCTCAAACGATAAATACAATTTAAATGCTTTATCCAAATGCATTGGATATTTTTTTGCATATGGTACACTACCATCAGTTTTTGTGTTACTGACACTAGAACTCATTAGAATCTAAGAACAAATTGTTGCCTATAGCCAGAGGTCATTTTGGGGGGGGGGACGCAGTTCCCCCGGGTGAGGTACGGGGGGCGGGGCACATGATGAAGCCCCGCCCCCTGCTTCTGACCGCCCCCTGCTTCCGGCCCTCATTCAGCCAGGAGGAGGCAGGAGAAGAGGGAGGGTAAGTTACTTCCTCCCTGCCTCTCCCCACCCCTGCCTGCCTGAGGCCAGGGAGGGCCTTCGCGGGGCTTCCTTGCACTCCCGCTGGCCTTGCAGGTCCACTGCCGGGCCCCTCATGGGGCTTGGCAGTGGAGCTGCAAGGCCGGCACCGGCGGCCGGGACCGTTGGGGGCAGGTTGTGTGGCCTTATGACACATTTCCGGTGATGTCAGGAGGTGTGGCCTTATGACACACTTCCGGTGATGTCAGGGGGTGTGGCATATGCTAATGAGTTATGCTAATGAGTTCCCCTAGCTCTTTTTCTACGTCCTTGCAGGTCCACTGCTGGGCCCCTCATGGGGCTCGGCAGTGGGGCTGCAAGGCCGGCATCGGCGGCCGGGACCATTGGGGGCAGGTTGTGTGGCCTTATGACACATTTCCGGTGATGTCAGGGTGTGTGGCATATGCTAATGAGTTATGCTAATGAGTTCCCCTCACTCTTTTTCTACGAAATGACCCCTGCCTATAGCACTGGGATAGTTTTTCTAACTAGCAGACATCCAATAATATCCTTATATAGCTAAGATTAAAATGTCAAGCATATACAGGAAAAGTGTACTGGGCCAAAAAAGTGGTATTTTCAGGCTGTGATATTCTGGAACCATTAACTATGTCGATTAGGAAGAAAGGCATAACTGGCATTGTCTAAAACAAACTGGCCTCACTGATGGACCTCCTGATGGCACCTGGTATTTTTGGCCACTGTGTGACCGAGTGTTGGACTAGATGGGCCATTGGCCTGATCCAACATTGGCTTCTCTTAAGTTCTTATGTTAAACCTTAAGCAGTCTACATTTCCCAGCATGCTGTGGTCTGCTCACAACATCTGCAAAACTAATCAAATAATTACAGGCAGGCAAGTGGATTTAAGGAAAATTGACTTATTTCTCTGACTCACAGGGGAATGAAGGATATAATAAAATAGAGATAACGATGAATTGCTTAACACAAGAACTGAGGAGGAGTTGGTTTTATATCCCACTTTTCACTACCCAAAGGAGTCTCAGAGTGGCTTACAATTGCCTTTCCCTTCCTCTCTCCACACAACAGACATCCTGTGAGGTAGGTGGGGCTGAGAGAGATCAGGGAGAACTGTGATTGTTCCAAGATCACCCAGCTGGCTTCATGAAGAAGAATGGGGAATCAAACCCGGTTCTCCAGATTAGAGTCCATCGCTCTTAACCACTACACCAAACTGGCTCTCAACTTTATCTGATAGTACCTATGTCCAACCACCCAAGTATCAGACTATGCACTTTAGTAATCTAAAAGCTACTTAAACGTGACAACCAGAAAGGTCAAGGCAATAGACTTAACAATGGTGTAAACCAGTACAAACCATGCTTAACATAAATCAAATTCCCTTACAACTAAGGATGCAAATCAATTAATGCTTTAACAGGTAAAGGGAATTTATAAACCACTGTTTGTAGGGAACCAGTTCTGCATTTATACTTAGGTTCATATGCCTGGACTTCAGGGACACTATTCCTCTGGACTTGGGAATAGCTCCACACTACTAAACATGTTTAAAACCATTCACTTTTGTTAATATGGGCACTGTTAATGGCAGAAGCTAGTGAAGTGCCCCTCTCTGTCTCTCTCTACTAAGCCTCCAAAACCCACAGCCTGCCTCACTCTTCTTAACAAAGTACAGGCCAAGACTTTGTAATTGCTACATATTGTTCTTCTACATGGACCAGCCAGCAAAATTAAAGGGCTGAAGAGGGACTGAAACAGCATAATCCATACTAAAAAGCTCAACTGAGACTCTAAACAAGTCTAAGAAACCCTAATCCAATGAGCATAAAAAAGACAAGCAAGTATGCCAGATGTCCACTTTCTCTCCCGATAAATCAATGGAAAGTAAAGTTTCTGGATCTTTTTTTAAAAATATTTATCAATTGCTGAATACCAGGCTCACAAATTTTAAAGAAACAGAAAATTAAATGGTTATTTAGTAATAAAAGAAATTTAAGTAATTAATTTGTTTACTAAATTAATATGTAAATGACTGTCAAATGACTGTCAACGTTTACAAGGCTCCCCCCCCCCTCAAACATTCATCCCAGAAATAGCCTTCAGGGAAGACTTTATGGACTGGATCCCATGACTACTTTCTAATGCAGGAGCTTTCCTCTTGAGCAAGGAACTCTCCACTGACATGAGGTTGTTCAGTTAGGAGAACAAAACCTCAGGATCCAACATGATGCATGTAGCTTCTGATCAAATTGCACAAATGCCAGGCAAACCAATCACACCCTAGCTGCTGCTGGCAGTAAAACCTTGATTGCAGGGTCTGTCCTTCCACCCCTTCAATACTTTCTACTTCTGTTTTCTTACAGAGCTGCTGAGAACATCACAAAAATTGTGACTGATGTTCAAACCTACCTCATTTGCTCCTGAGCAGCATTGAGAGCAGTTTTGCATTTGCAGAGAGGTAGTCAGGCAACTGTTGACCAGCTAGGCAATTGTTAAGAACTATGCCACAGGTCATTACAGAATGTTAAAAGCAGCTAATTTAGGCTGCTTTCTACCTGCAAGGTTGGCAGCATGCCTCCTTCTCTCTCTCTTCCCTCGCCCTTAACCCCTTCAACAGCCCATTTTCAACAGGTGCTTCGCCAGCTGCACTGGCTCTAGGTTGAATACAGGATCAGATTCAAGGTTTGATGTTAAGGCCCTAAACGGTCTGGGACCAGTGTATCTGCAGGACTGCTTCTCCTGGTATACCGCCCAAAGAGCATTACGCTCAGGCGAGAAGAACTTACTGGTGATCCCTGCCCAAAAAATATCTGGCTGTCCTCATCCAGAGCCAGGGCTTTTTCAGCCCTGGCACCAATCTGGTGGAACTCTCTGACGAACAACATCTGTGCCCTGTGGAACCTAATGCAGCTCCACAGGGCCTGTAAGACAGAGATGTTTCGCCAGGCCTACAGTTGAGGACAGCAGTGCTTTCCATCTAGCCTGACTCCTCCCTTCCTTCTCCCCCCCATGGGGCAAGGGCACAATCTGGTATACCAGTTATGCACCATATGTAACTGTAACTTGTTACTGTATTCTTAAGGTGTTCTTTAACTATTTTAAATGCGAATTTGTCTATTTGGAAATGTTATCTTTCCACCACTCTGAGCCCTGCCTGCAGGGGAGGGTGGTTTATAAATTGCATTAATAAACAAACAAATGACTCTTTATTTATATAATTTATATATATTGAAGGTATATTCCTAGAAAGCCTTGATTAATTTCACTTTAAGTTTCATCTCTCTGAAGAGACTTCAATATACTGGGTAAGCACTCAAAGTATTAGAATAGTGGAGGCTCTAGCCTAGGAATCTGAAAGAGATGAAAGTTTTCTTGGCCAAGGAGGTGTGTAACTTTCAGTTATACAGAAATGAAAGGATTCTGACTATGGAGAACTCATCCCTAACATGGGAACAACCCATTATGTAAATTGGTATTTTTCTTCTCTGGCAGAAAAGGTCTTTGGGAAGTGGACAGCCATGGGAATGCTATGTGAACATGCACGTCCAAATTATTCCTAGCCTTCAAAATTTGTCTGGTTTTCCTGTTAATGAAGACAGGTAAGCCAACTGTAAGGGACAGAGGGACACACTTCAAATCTGCAAGCCACTCACATGTAATATGTTTTGTATACTTAAGGCAGTATGACTACCACCAGATGGGGAGAGGAAGGCGGCAGCAGTAAATGGGTGGGAAAGCTGCAAGGAAGTGGTAAAAACGCACATGCAAACATCACATTCTTGGGGGGCATAATGGTGAATATACAAGCTAATTTTCTTTTTAATACAAATGAATAGTATGTCCAGCATATGGCTGCTAATCACTACCTGTGGACTGGATGTGATCTAAACCATGGGATGATTGAGCACTACTGTTTTCTTATTTATGAAATCATTTTATGATTGACTAAAAAGAACTTAGTCCCCCCATCTGAACAACCAAATCCCCCCTTTTCAAAAGATTAACTTTTCTCTTTTTCTTCCCACTAATATCAACCCGTCAACTAACACTGAATTTGGAAGGGGGGGACGGACACCCACAACTGTGTAAGAGGAAAATAATCACAATCTGGGAAAGCTCTAAGGCTGCCCTTTTGACTTATCAATTTCAGTAAGCAAAATTTCAATCAAGCCTAGATAAAATATACTAATCCTAAATAAACCAAGTTTGTCACCTACTACTTTCTATAAGCTGCTTACCATAGTAGGAGGGGAAAAAATGCTAAATTAAATGCCAAACAGTAGCAGACAGCACTTGTTTGGCTGATTAACTGGTAGACAAGCATTACGAATAAATCTGAGCATGGTCTGCAGCAAATTAAATTCCCATGCTTTAAAGAACAAAGAATTTATGGGGAAGAGGATTAGCAACTTTACACCCAGGAATGCTGGTTTAATTTAATTGTTCCACAATTCAAGATTTAATATGCAAATATCATTTGGATATTTAATAGTGAATTTGACAAAGTAAGGAAACAATTACAATATACAGCCAGGCTGCTTCTTCTCCTAACTGTAATTATACACAATGAAAAAAGCTGGCCAATTCTCCCCTTCCCCCTTTCATTACTAGGATTGGATTGCATTAGCATTAATCAGAACAAGACTAATTAAAGGTTAAAAACTTTAAATATATTCTAATTAAAACTCTAAATAGCTGCACTATTAGAATACTTATAGTTATAATCTCACCTCAATGATCTTCTTGGCTTCTTTGTATTTGCCAGTATTCAAGAAGGCAAAGAAGAGATCATACAGCATCATCATTTCACCTCGTTCTTGGCTCATGAAATCCATAACTATAGAAATGTTTAAAAGCTCATTAGATCCCCTACTTACAGTAGACAAGAAGATGTCAAAGATAAACAGCAGTGTCAATAGATATCCATGCCGAAGAATAAAACATTTCTAGTTAAAACATTTTAATGTTTTGTGTAACTTTCACACTAATCTGAATTTAATTTTCAGAGAAATTAAATTAGTAACATTTTACAAAATACCTGGCTAATGTGAAAATAAGAGAATTTGATGGGGTTTTTTTACCAAGATATATGTGAAGAAGGTCAAGTACTATACTGAGATAGATTTGTTGGTACCCTAAGAATGCCAGAATGTGTGTTAAAATTTCCTCACGGTTACAGGATACAGTTTGAATATGTGATGGCAAAAATATGTGCAGCTCTCAGAACCAAACTGCCTAACTTTGTTGGCTAAGGGCTTTCCCCCCCAAATGGTGGAAGGACTTTGTAGAAAGATTCTCTTTCCATTCATTTCTGTAAATCATCAATCACAAAGAGCCAAAAATAAAAATCTACAATACCAGTTGGCAGCAACTAACCTTTCTGTAAGAGTTCAGTGTCTCCCTTCTCTATCAACCTACACAAGATATCATGAAGCCTAGGGAGATGGCCATACTTCTTACAGCAGTCAAAAAGAGATTCCACAGCTGCTGGTAAATCATCCCTGAAAAGAAAATCCAAACAATTTCAGATGGGAAAATGCTATGTATACACCAAGCCTTAGAAATTTCATTATGTACATCTTGTTTTATTATATAGTTTCCAAGTTCAGTTCAAAATATATTTTCCAAACATTCTTCAATATATCAGATATCACTTTGCCATTTTGGAAATGTACAAACATTTTTACATTTAAATAAATCCAGCAGCTGATTCTTTTGTTTTGTTTGTGTCCTGTTAGAGCTCAGTATTTATTTATTTATGCTTTAGATTTATAGATCACCCAGCCTCTGAGTTTTCAGGGCTCTGGGCGATTAACAACAATAAGATAAAATACATCATAACAATATTAAAATTATAATATAAATTAACCTTACAATACTCACTACATTTGAAACAACCACTGATGAAGCATAAGATTTATTTATTTATTTTACTTTTTTATTTTTCCGATTTATACCCCGCCCTCCCTGCCAAGGCAGGCTCAGGGCAGCTTACATAGATAAAAACATAATAACAATCAAAATACCATAAAACATCTAAAACAGTTTGTTAAAACCATATTATATTAACATTAAAAAGTGCTAGCAGTATTATTTTGGTGTCATATAGATGGTGTTACGCATTCCAAAGATTATCTAAATATTTAGCTTGCTGATCTTTCTCAAATATAATCAACGGGCACAGGATGTCAGGCACCAGGCTCTATAAGTTTCTGTTGTTGTTAATAATGGTGATGATAGTGGTGGTGATGGTGGCTCCTAATTGAAGGCCCGATGGAAGAGCTCCATCTTGCAGGCCCTGTGGAACTGTAAAAGGTCCTGCAGGGCCCTGATCTCTCCCGGGAGCTCATTCCACCAGTATGGAGCCACCACCGAGAAAGCCCTGGCCCTGGTTGCAACCAGCCTGGCATCCTTGGGACCTGGGAGGGCCAATCGGTTTTGTGACCCTGATTGTAGTGTTCTCTGGGTATATATGGGGAAAGGCAGTCCCTCAGGTATATCGGACCCTGGCCATAAAGGGCTTTAAAGGTAAGAACCAGCACCTTGAAGTGAATCCAGTATGCTATCGGCAGCCAGTGCAATGCCTTCAGGACAGGCTGGATGTGCTCCCTCATGGGGACACCCATCAAGAGCCTGGCCGCAGCATTTTGCACTAGCTGCAGCTTCCGGATTTGAGACAAGAGCAGCCCCATGTAGAGAGCATTACAGTAGTCTAATCTTGAGGTGACCATCACATGGATCACTGTTGCTAAATTGTTGTGTTCGAGGAAGGGAACCAACTGCCTGATCAGCCAAAGATGATAAAAGGCTGACTTGGCGGTGGCTGCTACCTGAGTCTCCATTGTTAAGGAGGCATCCAAGAGCACTCCCAAACTCCTAACCTCTGGCGCTGGCACCAATGGTGCCCCATTGAAGGTTGGGAGTAGGATCCCTACCCCTGGACCGCCCCAACTCAAGCACAGGACCTTCGTTTTCATCTGATTCAATTTCAGTCGGCTCAGAGCTGGGTGTCAGCTGCATAATGGTGACATCCCAGACCATAACTCCGAGCAATCTGGGGAAGGGGGCGCGTGTAGATGTTGAATAACATTGGGGAAAGCACTGCCCCTTGAGGCACTCCACACTCTAGTGGGTACCTCTGGGAGAGCTGTTCCCTTAACGCTACCCTTTGTTCCCGACCGTGGAGAAAGGAGGCAAGCCATTGCAAGGAAAGCCCCTGAACTCCTATTTCAGCAAGGCAGTGGATCAGTAACTGATGGTTGACCATGTCTAACGCCGCCGACAGGTCCAACAACAACAGCACTGCCGAACTGCCCCAATCCAGATGCCTCCGGAGATCATCTGTGAGCGCAACCAGTGCTGTCTCTGTCCCATGTTCCAAGCGAAAACCGGACTGGAAGGGATCTAAGATGGAAGCGTCATCCAAAAAGCTCTGTGGCTGAATTGCCACGGCCTTCTCTATTATTTTGCCCAGATAGGGCAAATTAGAAACCGATCGATAGTTCACCAATTTGGCCGGATCCAGGGATGGCTTCTTCAAGAGAGGACACACCACCGCTTCCTTGAGCACCCCAGGAAACAGTTCCTCTGTGAGGGACTTGTTGACAATTTTCCTTAGGGCGCCACACAACCCATTATGGCCGCCATCTCATAGGATCTCATAAACGCCCTATAAGATTGCTCTTGTAACTTTGTTGCGAGCACACCACCACCGTCTCTCTAGCAGTCTTAGCCCTCGTTTCATAAGCTGCAATTCCTGGATAAACTTGGGAGCAAGCGTAGAGCAGGGGCGCAGAGGGCTCCGGGGAGCGATCTCATTGATACCTGCAGAGAGTCGGCTGTGCCAATTCCCTACAAGCTCATCCAACGAGCCGCCAGGGGACATCGGATCCTACAGAGCTATTTGGAGCCATACAGGGTCCATTTGGTTCTGCGGGCAAGCTAAAATATGCTCACTGCCTAAACAGGGTCAGAGTGAAACGTTCAGATGGGCCCTCAGGGCATGGTGGTCTGACCATGGTACTACCAGGGCAGTAATCCGGTCAACTGTTACCCCAGCCATGAAGATCAGATCAAGCATGTATCTGGCCTGGTGGGTGGATGTTGTTAAAAATTGGGAGAGTCCCAGCGCCGCCATGGATGACACTGAGACCGTTTCCTGAGTGGAGGTTGCATCATCGGTATAGACACTGAAGTCACCCAAGACTATTAACCTAGGGTGTTCCAATGCCCAGCCTGATACGGCCTCCATCAGGGACAGCAGGCTATTGGTCGATGCATTAGGCGGTCAGTACACCAGCCAAATTGCTAAACTCTCCCTGGCCTTCCATACTAGGCTGGTACACTCAATGCCCATGATCCTTGGCGGCGGGAGTGCCCTGAAGGACTAAGCCTCCCAAATGAATATAGCCACTCTCCCCCACCCCCTAGTCCACAATTGATGAAGGACCAAGAACTCGGGAGGGGCAAGCTGGGAGAGGGCTACTGTCTCCCCTTCCCGCACCCAGGTCTCAGTCACGCACACCAGTACTACATTCTGCTCCAGCAGAAAGTCCTAAAGGACCATGGTCTTATTGTTTATAGACCTGACGTTACACAACACCAATGTCGGAGGAGGATTGTTCATCCTAGCCCCTCTGCTGACAACCTTCGGGATGGGACACAGGCTGGAAGGGCGCCAAGCTACTCTATTTCTCCACTCCCTTCCCTTAACTCCCTGCCTGGTCCTACCGCTGTACTTTCCCCTCCCCAGGAGCACCAGAATCCCTTGCCCAAGCTGATAAAGATGCACCCAATATGTGATTGCCAGTAGCAAGCTACAGCTTTCAGTGCTGTTAAATCCACAATTTCACAACCCATCCTACTATACAATTCAATGTCATACATTGATTGCCAATAATTATCCAGTCATCCAGCCAGTAATTAATAAAGGCCAATGATAAACCCACCCTATTAACTTATGCAATATACATGAACTAATTCATTAGTCAATTTCCACAATTAATCAATAATAGCAATCAAAGAAGGTCCCATAATTACAGAAATATTTATAATCAATTTTGGTAGGATGGTTCTATAGCCAAATAACAATACAATCAATTTAATTAAATATTAATTACCTCATTCAAAATCCAGCTATTCAGAATTAACTAATTAGCTCCTAAATAATTAACTATTCTAGCTACTATAAGCAAATTACCAATCACTATCATTTAATTTAATTAGGGCTCTCGCATTGCATCCTTTGGACCAACAGCCACCAGCTACATTGATGTTATAAAGTTTCTGCTTGCCCGCCGGGATGGTCTTAAAATCTTCTCTGGTCAGCATGTCTTTTTTTGGGGGGGATCACACCACCTCTTTTCGCTGTTCTGATCAAAACACAAGCACTTTGACTCTCGAACTCCCTCCAACTTTGGACTCCACTTCCTGCTTGCCCCTGGTCTTGACTGCCCAGTCTACCCAGCTCCAGATGTTGTTGTGGTATGGCAAAAGAATCCCAGCGAGATTGAAGTCCTCTGCTCTCACAGTCCAGTCAGGTAGAGAAAAGTGCCATCGAGGTCGCAGTAGCCTGATGGATTTCGGCCCGGCTGGAGAGGCTCCGGGGAAGGACGAGACCCTCCCCAGGCCCTCCCGCCGCTACCCTAACACCCAATACAGGCACCGCGAGAACAGCGACATGCACGGCTGCTGTCAGAGAATCCTTGTCCCAGCGTCAGCCCTGAAATGGCCGCCGCACCAAAGAAGCGAAGGATCTTAGCTGGTAACAGCCACTGGCTAATCTAAGCTTGGTCTACTGCGGGAGTGCTAGCTCAAAGCTCCGTTTGTCGCCATCTTGCTGGATGTGATTGTTTTCAGTGGGTTCTAGACTGTGTTGCCTCATGGGTAGGGGAAGGAGGACACAACAAAACAGAGATGGGGGAGAGAGAAAAAGGGAGGGGTGCCAGTCAGATAAACCCTGTTGCTGTCCTGGCGGAACATCTCTGCCTTACAAACCCTGCAGAAGTGTGCTTGCACACAAAAGCTTATACTTTGAATAAAACTTTGTTGGTCTTAAAGGTGCCACTGGACTCAAACTTCATTAATGTGGTTGTTACAATTTTTTTAGAAGACAAGATGGGCAAGGGTCTAGTACATAAGCAGTGGCCACAGATCCCAGGTCCTGTCAGTATCCAGCATGGTAATGGGGTCAAAAGTTTCATATGCAGACCAGACAGTGTATTAAGGATTTCCTCACTGGCATCCAAATCAGAGCATATTTGTGTTTATTTTATCAGCAAAACACTTAGAAAAGGTATCCTGGCTAGTTTTCAGTTCTTGAGACAGTAAAGGCTCAGATTTAGGAGCCAGCAAAGTCAGCAGATGGCTAATTAAATCTTACTATTTACTTCCTGGTCGTGAGAAACCATTGTTTGCTGTTAAATCCAAACTGGCCATGATTTGTTCTTACCTTGCACATTGTTTGCTGTTAAATCCAAACTGGCCAACTATGATTTGTTCT